CTGAGACAGCAGGGTGTATGGGTTGGGAACCAAGGATGTATGTTGTAGGCCCAGAAGAACTTTATGGGCCTAACGGAAGTGTTGATGAGTCGTAGGTAGGACCCATTGGGCTTTTTTACCGCTAGTATGGGAGTAAGGGGAACGAGCAGGACGGAGGTACCCCTTGCTAAGAAGGTCCTGAATAATCAGGAAATGGTGGAGGGGGTGTGGGTATCCCATACAATCGGGTCAACTAGGTTAGTATGGTATTTCATGTCAGCCTCACAAGTGGAGCAGAATGGTCAGTTTTCTTCCAAAAGGGCCAGAAGAGATGAACAGGCCAATTCTGGGGCCTGACTGATGCCAGGAGCCCGTAGGTTGATTGTTGTATTGAATTTAGAGAGAATATCTCAGCCGAGCAAAGGAACTTGACATTGGGGCATAACTAGGAATGTCTGAGAGAATGGGAAGTTGTCTATGGAACACAGTAATAGGGGAGTCTTTCTTGAGTAGATAGTCTTTCTTCCTACCCCGACAATAGGAGAGGCGGATGGCACTCCTTGCTAAGAAGTTGCAACTCTTTGCCCCCAGAATTCTGTCAGTACTGAGAAGGTAGCCCTGGTGTCAAGGAGAAAGTCAACCTTGCACCTATCCACCTGAATCTGCACCCTGGGTTTCTGTCTATTGATCGTTACGGCCAGGGACAAGGACCCAAGGCACCGTCAATTGATTGCCATGCCCAGAAGGATGGAGGGTTCCCTCCTATGGGATCTAGGACAGTCAGACCCCCAATGACCTTGTTGTTGACATTTAGGGCATGGGGTATGCAGAGTGCGTGGTGCAGGGCATGCCCTGGCCCAATGTCCCTCCTTGCCACACTTGAAGAAGGCGCCCAGGGGGGTTTTCGGTGATGGGCGGCGACCCGAGGAAGCATCCTGCAGGACCTGGGTGAGCATCTGAAATTTCTCAGTCAGGAGGATGGCAGGGCCTTCCTTGTTTGAGCTTTTTTAGTTTGGCCCAGATGCCGAGGTAGTTCTGCAAGAGGAAATATGTCATAAGGACATGATAGCCATCTGGGGTTTTGGGAGTTTGATCTGGGGCAGCAAGTGGCCCCGGAGGGTGACTGGGATTAACTCA